AATTTGTAAATAATGAATTAAATGAAAGATTATTAACAAATTAATGAATATATAAAATTAATTAATGAATAAGAATGCTGTAATAATAAAATCATAATTAAATTATAAGTAGACTCTGGATAATAATATTTTTTATGCTAATTGAATTTATTAAAAACAAACTTTATAATATAAGTGAATATATTAAAAATATGTTAAAAGTATTCTCATTTAAGATTCATAATATACAATTGTTGTGATTATATTACAACACTTTTATTTTATATTCTCTTAACTGTGTTATATCTCTTTTATTATTATTATTATTAGTATTGTTTTGTTTTATATGTTCAGCTTTGACTGAGAACAAAGAATGAACGAAATTAGTCTTTTTTGAAATAGAAATAATAGAAACTTATTCTATTAACATTTAGTTAATTGACTTAATTTTATTATGGAGCTGTATTCTGGAATTATTCTGATTGTTAAATATATTATTTTATTTTGTATTCTAATTCATGTCTTTATTCTATTATCTCATATTCTTGGCTCTGTGTAGTGGTTTACGAATTATTTCTATTTAATGTATTCTTCATGTCAATTTTATTATGTATCAATATAATAAGTGTTTAAAAATATTGTGTGGTTATGTAAGACTTATTAATGAAACACATTCATTATTTCTCCTACTGTATTTATGCTATTATGATAACTATGGTTTATGAATATTGTTAGACTATTTTTTCAAAATATCAGATTCTGTCTTCATAATTATTGAACGATTTATTATTTATTTACACATTCTCTATATGATTTGCTCTTCAATGATAAGAAATTTTTATCTTCTTTTTCTAAATTTTTTTTTAATTTTGAATTTCCTACTTCATCTTTTTGTCGTAAAAGAAAAATAAAAAATGAAAAGGATTGAGGATTTAAAAAAAGGGTTTTTAACAACAAAAACAATTTTAGGAAAAATCTTCTGATTCTTGAGTATTTTCTGTTGAAAGCATTAGAACTTAAAAAAACATAATTTTAATGCAAAGCCATAAGGGGAGCTTTCATCCTTATTGTGACTTGTTACGAAAACCAAACCAATTGTTGAATGATTTGGGTTCAGAAGAAACAAAAGAAATATTATATTTGTGGAATTTTATTCATCAACAACGAGATATTTTAGATATTGAAAATGCACCAAAAATGAATGAAGACTCAGATGAGACAGAAGATGAAAATGAAATTATAAAAAAAGAAGATAAAAAACGATTGCACTTAGACACAACATTTAAATCTGTGATGGTATATGTTTATCATTCATCATTTAACTATAATTCATTGGCTATAAGATTATGCTCATTAATGTTTTATCATTATTTTAGTTGTTCACAGGAGTGTTCATTAGAATATCCTGTACAAGTGATGCAAGCAATTCCTGTGAACCGTTATACTATTCCATTAATCTTTTATTTAACAACATCAAACAATGATTTCCTTCAATATAATGAAATAGGTGATATCCCTCATTTATTGTTGGTTAAAAACATTAACGTATTAATTAAAGACTATTTAATTTCTCCTTTAGGACAACAAACATCAAAAAAAACTCCTGGATCAATTTATATGAGAACAAGAGTATTAGGATCAGATCATAAAGGGTTTGTGTATTATTTATTAAATGGGTTCTTAATTTCTAATGCAAATGGAAAGTGGTTTATATTTCATTCTTCTGGTCAAATAGATGACTTTGTTGAAACCTTAAATAACGACCAACCAGATACCGACTTATCTATTCAAATCAATAACTTTAGAAAATATATTAAAACCGATAGAAAAGTTGCACAAGAATTTGCAGTGTCTAAAAAAGGAATAACTCCAGCAAGTCATTATATTACATTTTCACCAATAAAAAATCATTGTGAGTTTGATAATGAAACAAAAAATATGATACAAAGTGCAATCAAAGACATTTGTTGGATATTAATGAAAATAGAAAAATTAGCTCAGTTAGAAAGAATTAATCAACTTGATTCATTCAAACAACTTAATGAAGTAAATGTTATAACTAATCAAAATGTACAACAACCTATGGAAGAAATATTTGAAAATAACCATTCTGAAAATAGAATGGTAGTTGAAGAAGAAAATAAAACTGATTCAGGAGAACAAGAAATGTCATATTCAGAAGAAAATGATAAACAACAAGAAACAAAGAAATATAATAAAAGTAATGATTCCATTCAATCTAGTGCTAGTTCAATTTCAGAAGGTAATAGTGAAAATGAAGAATCAAGCTCTGAACAAGAAGGTGAAAGTAAAGAAATTATAACTCCCCCAAGTTCAGGTCCTCTTTCAAAGAATAAACCAAAAAAACGAGCTAAAATAAGAATAGGAAAAGAAAAATTAAATAAGAAAAAGCAAGAGTTTTTTGATAAAGCATATTTAAATGAAATTCAAACAATTAACCAAAGTGAATTAAATGAAATGATTGATCAATATTCTGAACAATTAGCATTACTTCCTTTACTAAATTCTAAAAACTATAAACAAATAATACACCAAGTAATTGATATTATATCTACTCTAGTAAGTATTCTTCCAAATAAATATTTTAGAAGAGAATATATATTTGTAAGAGATTTTATAACTGGACTATCAACTAAAACCTCTTCACTGTCTTTCTTAATTGTAACGACAACATTATTAGACAAAGCAATCATCAAATGTAATTGAATATCTTAATCTGTGTTTTATCAGTACATTACAAATAATAGTTTAGTTATAAATTTTATATTTAAAAAAAATAGAAGAATAAAATGAGAAAGAAATAAATGAAATGGGAGTTTTCAATATTTATTTGATAAATTTCTCTTTAGAACAATTTATGTTGTTTTTTCAATTGTTCCTTTTCAAACTTTTTCATTTTATTGTATTCTGAACGAGAGCGTTTGAAGACTTTAACAAATTCTTCGTCACTTAAATAAGTTTCCAATTTAGTTTTATCTAAATAAATTGGTCGTTGAAGTAATTCTTCATAAGTATATTTTTTATTAATTATATTCCAAAGATCTTTAAATGAGATAATATTTTGAGGGTCATTTTCAATATCCATTTCTTTTAATGAACTTTTTTCAAAACCATGTATTATAGTAACTACCTCCTTTGGGATATGTTTTAAAGAATGAATAACATAAACTTCAGGAACATCTATTCCACAATACTTTCCATTTAACTTTTCTAAATATTCATGAACAGTGTTAAGATATGGCATAATACAATCTTTCTTCAATTGTGTCAACAATAAATAAATCCCTTTTTCACAAGTTAATAACGTTGGCTCTTTAAATCTTTGACAAGTAAAGAATGTATTTTGTTTTACTTTTATACTCATCTTCTCTGAGATTAAATGATATGATTTTGGCATAACAACTGAATAATTATTATCAAAATGCTTGACCTCATTAAACAAAACTTTACCATCTTTTTCATCTAAAATTGTAGCAGGTCGTTGATCAATTCTTTTAGCAGCTTCTTCAGCAACTTTTCTATTATTTTCATTTGCATATTTTCCTTTCCAAATTTTTACTCCATCCGTATTAACATAAATATATGAACAAGATGAGTTAATAAACTCTTTATTAAATTCACGTTGAACCGTATATTCACAAGTATTTTCAAACATAGTATTACTCACTTGATATATTCTCTCTGTGGCTTGATGTTTCTCACGTTCAAAATAGTTTCCAATATGAATAAGATATTTATCTTCAAACAATTGCATAAATGCATGTGGTTCTTCTCCTTGAGGTACACGAATAGTGCTAGCACCTTTTTTTTTACTTAAATCACTAACTAACATAGATGTTTTTCCTTTACTTTTTATTGAAGTGTGTTTACCTTGCCAATAGAAGAATTTAACTTCTTCTTTAGGATCTTTATAATCAATAATGTAATCATTCTCACTATAAAATTCACCATACATGCTTTCCGGAATAGCCTCTTTTTGTATATCACAAATAATATATACTTTAATTGTTCCTCCTTGAATAATAAAGTCTTTTGATGGTTGAAGAACAATAGAATCATCAGGAATACCTAATAATTCTCTAATATCAAATGTCATTTTCTCTTCTTCTACTGGTGCATTCCGATTAAACACTGGTTTAATTAAAGGCTTTGTTGGTCTAGATACACTAACAGTTGCAGCTCTATCTCTTGATTGATTTAATTCATCCTCGGTATAACTACAATCAGGATTATGTACTGTTTCAACACTTCCTTGTGTTACAGCAAATTTCTCTTTAAAAATTACAGGCTCAGTTTGTTGTGTAATACGAATTAATTGAGCAATTGGGGATCGTTGTTTCTTATCAAAAATTTGCTGTGCAACAACTTTAGCACTCTTTCTTAATGTAGAAGATGCTCTAGTACCAATCCATAGATACACATCATTTCCACCATCATAAACATAAACATTCCATGGTAATAACATGTTATGGGCTATTTTTCCTTTACTACAATTAACAATTTCTGCCTCATCCCAAGTACCTTTTTTCTCTCCAAGAAGATATAACTCATCTCTATAATCTTTATCTTCAATGTCATCTTGGTTTGGTTCTGCTTTAGCAATATTGTCATTCTTTCCTCCAAGGGCCTTCCAAAATTCTTCATCTTCTTTGCCTTGATTAACTTGAATAATTTCACATCTGCCTTGTCTTTCATCATGTTTAATTGTATTTGCTGCATCACAAACTTTTGTTCTCTTCAGTCGAGAAGAGTCTTTTCCAATCCAAACATAAATTTTATCTATCTTATCAATAATAAAAACATCTCCACTATTTAAGTATTCTGGTTTTAACTCAATGATTCTCCACTTCAAAAAAAACTTACCACTAACTCTTACCATCTTTTCATAATTCATTGATGTATTCATTCCATCGACCTCATTAGAAAATGTTTGTTGTGCAAGAAAGGCATCATCTGCAAGTCCTGGTGATGTAGAAGGACTTATTTTCTTAGGTTCTGGTTTTGTAATTATTGATGGCTTTACTGAAAAAGATGCCCTTCCAACTTTTGCTGCTTTCCGTGCTTGTACTTCAGCCATTAATGGATTCATTTTTGTTGGTAGTTTACTCCCTCCATTAGTGATAATATTAAATCCTTTACCCACTTCTGGTTGTGTTGGTTTTGTTTCTGGTTCAATGTACTCAGTTTTCATATCTTCTTTCTTTAAATTACCATAAATACCTCCTTTTCCAGCATGAGTCTTTCCTCTAGCCTTAATTCTTCTAACCACATTTGGGTTTTCGGGTAAACCATCACATAATAAATCAATATTTAACATGTCTTTTTTTTCTTCTTTTTCTTCTGCTTCAAGTTCTTTTTGAAGTTTTTCTGCTTCTTTACTTAATCTCTCTTCTTCTTCTTTCATTTTTCTTTCTTCTTC